GCATAGAACATGTATCAAACTTTTTTTAGAGACTTTGGGGTACTGCATACCATTACTATGGGGCTTTACATGAACCAGTGATACAGAAAGGGTCAGCGTTCCCAGTTGATTTCTTCAAAACCCTGAACATACCTTCTGAGCCATGCCAGCCAGAGAGCTAGTGAAGGAGCCTGCCTTTTGAGTCTGGGGACTCCTCCAAATTGTTTTCTTCACCCTGAATCTAAAAAAGAAATGCCAGTCTGTTGCTTTTGAGACCAGTTTGTCTCTGGACTTATTAATTACCTCATTTAGAAGTAATGACCTTATTTGGTGATTTACATTTTCTAGTGTCTCACTTTTTCTAAGAATACCAGGAAATTGCTGATGTAATTGTAATTGTTCCACCCTGGTCAGCTTGTTTGTGAGTCTTCCTCCTTCTTTTATTCCTGATGCCTTGAACTTTGCCCTAAGTCTTTTATCTGCTCTCACAAGACTCAAATTGGTACCTTCACTTGAACCTTTGCACTTTTTTTCTGAAAACTGCATAGCAGATGCTCCTTGTACTTGAAGCAAGCATGCTGTTCTCTGGAAAAAACACATTGACAGCAGCAGGAAGAAGTTTGCTAGCTGCTCTTGAATGGTGAAGCGGATACTCAGAGACTACTGAAAATGGCTTTTATTCACTTTGGTTAGGACCCTGAAAGAGATTCAGCCCTTCAGAGCTAATCCTCTTTACATACACTGTGCTTATGATAAGGTTACCCATTCTACATACTCCAGATTCTTTCTTAAAGTAATCTTTGGGTTTCTTGAGTTAGGAAATTAATCTCTGCTTTTTCTTAAAGCAGCTGTACACAAGATTGATTCATCTGTTCATACTCTGAACATGAGGTATGGTTTGCCTTTTGTTTGAATTGAACAGACTCTTCATCTCTACAGCAGATGGGTCCAGATGTGCAGCTGTGCGGTCCCCAGGACTGTCCACTGGATTTATGAATGTGCTACAGTAAAACCATCAAATGTTGTCTGAGCGTAATCCCTGAAGGCTCAAGTGACACTAGTGACTCTGAAGACTATCTTTATCCATTAGACCTGCAGAACAACCACAGAAATTTATCCACTTTTTTACCTGTGTTACCATAGAAGCTTCTAATTGATGCTGCTTTTATCATAGTGGTCTTCTGGTTTTAATTCTTTTGGGACATTGCAACCAACCACCAGGTAATCTGTGCAAGCTGAGGTGTGCTGTTCCTGTATTCACAGAGTGAACATGTGGACATGCATGTGGACAGTCACCCAGAGAAGAAAGGAAGGTTACTCATTAGTAAGTGGAAGTTCTTTGAGATGCGTTGTCTATACACACATTTCTTACTCCTTTTCTCGTCTCTCCTGGAGTAGCACTGGTAGAATTTAGGGATTGTTAGGTTGAGAGGAAATAAGGTTAGATGCTGTTCATCCATTTAAGTTTTGCACATGATATACCGTGAGTCTTTAGGTTATTGGTCACAGGTGAGTGGTGTGTGCTCACCTATTGTGTGAACATGCATACAGACTACGTTTTTAAGAAACTTCCTTTAATTTGATACTGATTTTTTATATCATGCCAAACATAATAGAAGGCTTGAGTTTCATTTCAGTGCACTTCTATGTCTTTAGGCACATATATGCATTATATCTGTGATTTTGTAATAGTAAGAGTCAAAGTTAGTCCAAGTGCTGATTTGTGACAACAAGAGTTGGTTTGTCTTTTTACCATCTCAACCATGTGTCTGCAAACACACTGAACTCTTCAGTGAACTGCCTTTGTGGGTTCATTCTAGGCAGCAGTTGAGGTTGTCTGTGCTAAGGATGTGGAGTGTCTCTGAAAGCCTGCCATCTCACTTTCAACAGAGAATTACAGAATTTCTTACATAAATCCTCTGATTCATTGCAAAACATAATCTTCACATTAAAGTTATGAGCTTTCAGGTTAGAATTATGGTTGTCTATACCAAACCTATGAAACAGCTTGTACGAGCACTTGACTTGCTGTATTTGGTGTTAGCAGCAGAGATGCTAACCTTAAAGAGCTGACTCTTGTGAACCAATTGACCTTTGCCTGGAAACTATCCAGAAATATAAAGTGCTATTTCCTGACGAAGTTCTTTCGTGTAAGGAAGCTTCACTGGGAGATGTTTCAGGACAGAAGTATAAATAGTGTACTGCCAAATCGCCATCATTCCTGGAAAAAAAAAGGCTGTAACTATCAGTGGCATTTTGAAATCTGTGATGGCTTTATGAGGAATTTCACATTCCTATTCTATTCTGTAAAGCTGTAGCCTTCTCAAGCTTACAACACAACATTGCATATTCATGCATACAGAGTGGTGGTTCAATGAGGGGCATCTTATGGATGCAAAAATATCTGATGAGGGCAAAATTTGTATTTGAATTAACTTTCAGTTCCCAAACAGTGAAGCAAGACAAGAATACTTTCCAGTGAATACAGTGGAATATTACTAATGTTTCTGTATAGACTATGATTACTGAAGCTCCAGCCTGTTTGTTTCCTGTGCTGAATTTTGAGGCTATCATCAAACTATGCATCATGTCTTCCCTTAATCCTGCTTTAATGGTGTATCATTTTAAGCACTAAGGGAAGGAGTGAAGACTAAATGTCACTGATACTTAATACAATTCAGTGTTGAGAGTTGTGTACACCAAATGATCAAAAAGGCCTTGTTGCTGTGTGGAATAGTGCATTGCCATACTGGTGTCTGTGAGAACCTTTGACAGATTGGTAAGCTTGTTAAAGGCTGCATAGAACAATGTATTTTTCTTCATTGACTCTGCTGCCAAATAAATGGAGTTCTGAATGATGCCATTTACAGAATTTTAGTTAAAGATGTTTAGGTTGCAAATTCAGGCTTAATCTAGACATGTCATAGAGCAAATAATCATTCTACTACAAAAAGATCCAATTTGCCAGTCCTTCAGGACTGCAGCATCTATCACACTTGTGTAATGGTGTTAAATGCCATCTTCTGTGCAGGTTATTCTCCCTCTGCTGGGTGCTCTCCAAGTTTCATGTGTGACAATAAAAGAAAGACACTTTAACTTATCACAGCTCAAAGTAAAAAGATACTCACTACAGTACCGCTGCTTGCTACTGGTCTGGGCTGCCAGAGGGCTTCACGGGCTGCTCTTGTCATCTTCTATTTCTGCATCTGCATTTATTTCTGTTTGTACATGTAGCTGCCAGAAATAAAGGTGAACCTTGCTGTTGTGTTCATATTGAAAAGTAGATTCTCCTTTTTCCAGGTAACCCTTCTTCTGTTCCACTGACAGTCCACCTATCTTAATCTAGATTAGCTAATGCAAGTAATTAAAGGTAAAATTTGAATGAAAACAGAATAGCTTCTTCAGACACTTGCAGTCATTGTGCCAAGTCATGAGAAAACTAGAACTCTCTTATCTTCACCAAGATTTTCCTCAAATTATCTAACTTGAATTTGTCTATTTGACTTAAATGCATACTTTTTTTGTTAGCAGGACATGTCAGTAACAAAGATTATTGGTTGAGAATGGGTACTTGCCTATGAGTAGTTCTTCTTAACTGAAGTATGTAACTTACAAAACCTGTTTTTCTTTCTCCTTTCTAAAGCTGAAGAATTTAATTATTATGCACCTGGAATCTTTCCTGGTTCTCTTTAAAGCTCCTTTATTTTTCTTTCTCTCTTTTTCTCTATCTTAATCTCTTTCCTCTCCTGCTCCTTAAGGCCTTGGAATATCTTTTCAAGTTCATTGTCCAATCTCGGATCCTTTACTCCAGAGCTACTTGTGGAATGGAGGAGGAACAGTTCCGCTCCAGCGTCCAAGAGCTTTTCCAGTCCATCAGATTTGTGCTCAGCTTGGACAGCAGGAGCTCTGAGACTCTCATCTTCACACAGGTTTGCTATTTTCTACACTTTAACTGGCAAACCAAAAGGCAGCTGTTTTCTGCACAGGTAGTTATATGGGCACATGGCGATTAAATGCAGGTTAGTAGTTTTCCCCGTCTGACAAGCTGACGATACTGGAAAACGACATAGCCATTTGATGTTACTAGACAGTAGCTTTGCACCACTTCACAGATGCAGGTGAGCTGAACTGTGGACTCTCAAGAGGAAAGTGACTTGTCACGTGAGAATACAATTTTTGCACTTCACAAAAGTAAACTGCATTTTCAGGTCTCTCATATGTCTTACGGTTGGTCTCATGAAGTTTTAAATCCTTAATTTGAGTAGCTCAAGTCAATACTTAGGGTCCTAGCAACTCACAGCAGAGAAGTTCAGCTGATGTACTCACAGTCAGATAAACTTAATTCCAGCATACCCTAAAATTACGGTCAGGATCATATGCAGCCTGACCGCAAGCATACTCACATTTAATACGTTATTTTGAATATGGCCCAGAGGACTTCACGAAGACTTCATGTGGGCTTAAGATACTACTCAAAGTGAGTAAGGATGCTGCTAAGTTTTGTTTCACATTTTAAAGACCACTGTACTAAATTACATACTTCTGTGTTTAAAAGTTTTAAATAGTAATGTCATATGTGTTGTGTGTGCCTCAGCTCAGAGAATGTCAAAATGGACCACCTAGAACTTCCTGGTAATGTTAAGGTGATTTGTAATCACTAATTTACTATTTACAGATGTTTTAAACACCTACTGTGGTTTGCCAAAGAAGCAGTTGCTGTGAGCGTTGCAACAAAACAGACTCCGCTGGTTAGGGAAGCTGCCAGCAACGTGATCTCTTTCTTAAGAATCTGCTCTGAAAGATTTTGAGAACAGCTGCTCTAATCTTTTATTTAATCACCCATTAGTGGGTATAATAAGATGAGCCAGGAACATGAGAAATCAGTGCACAGAATTTTGCAGGCAAAGTGACAGTGAGTGGAAGCAGCATCTTATGAATGCAGGCTGCTGAGGGTTCTTTGTTTTTCCGTTGTGTTGATCACAAATACAGAGGGAGACTAGGTTTGAGGATGGGGCTGTTTTCCCTTTCTCTCTTTGTCTCTTTTTTTTTTTTTTCTCCTCCTTTCTCTCACTATGGTATTTCTTACTTTGGACTTTTGTAATTTGTAAAGCCTGTCTTCATTTAATCTTTGAAAAGTTTACTTTTTGTTTCCCCCTTGCCACTATGTTGCCCCTTGATCCCAATTGCCCCATAGGCCTCTCAGCCTGGAGGGCAGGCGAGCGGAGCTGGGACATGTGCCCCACAAAAAGGTGGGGGTACTTCAAGGCCGTCATTTAATTCTGTAAGTAATGATCCCCAGAACTGCACAAGTATTTCATCATGGATGTTCCCAATTAATCTCCTTCCCTACCCCAAACCCTCTTTTCCTGCATATAAACTGGAATTTAATGTTCAAGTGGCTGGTACGTTAAAACTAGGAAATGTGGAATATTTCAGTAATTAATGGAACAGCTTATGGCATCCACACACTGAAAAGATAGTACTGAGGGCGTATACAAGATTATGTATGTCAAATTGTTCAGGAGAGCCAAGGAAATTATGTACTAGTTCTGGAAATCTGGACAACCGTTAAATATCTACAGAAATGCTTGAGGCCCTAGCAACCATAATTTTCTTCACACTTGTCCTCTTGTCCAGGATATTAGAGAGATCTCAATATAGTTCTTTCCAGCAATGAGATTAAAACTGATTATGTGCTTCCTTCCAGGCAATTAGTTTGACACGAGTAATGTTCCAGCATATTTTAGGGTGTTGTACAAAAAAGGGCTCTTCAAGGAACTGATGAAACGAAGTAGCTGTTCCTCAGGATGGCTCCAAAGCTTCTTGAAGACATCCCGTGCATATCCTTAGATTGCTACTGGATATCCTAAATCACCACAGAAATCCTTCTGCTTTATAGTAATAGTTAGAAATAAGTTAGGAAAACTCCTGTAAGGATTTGTTGGCCGATATTGTAATTTCACGTGTATTATACCAAAGGTAAAGATGATGACTGGATTTGCAGCTGTTAGAGCCTTCCAAGAGTACCATGAGCTCTTTAAATGATTTATAGATGTTTATTTTGTTAGTACATTGTATGTATGTAGCAACAAAGAGGTGACAACACCCAGGAGGCCATGTGAGTTGTTGTGTAATCTGATCTGATAGTAACAAAACAAGATGTTAAGAGAGATAACGAGCGCAAAGAAGAAAGAGGTAAATTTATATTCAGAATAATTTAATGGGCTCTACAGTGTTCGTTGTAAAAATAACTTAGACTTTGCTCAAAGACTATTAGATAAATATCACTGTTGTTTGAAGGAGAAGATACTTTGAGGAAAGACTTGGCAAAGAAGGAAGCTGTATATTATATAGGATTAGGAGAGGCATGCCAAGTGTTGGAGCCAGCATGGGAGAGGTACAGAAATGTTTATGCAATAAGGAAACAAAAAAAAATCTGTGAGGAAGAGGAGAACTTGCAGAATAGAAGAAAATACCAATAGGTGGCGAGACTCTGGAAGGGCAAAGCTGAACAGAGATCTGCAACGAAGTTTGGTAAATCTCAACTTGTGCAGGAAATCGGTGTGGTTTGTGTGGGAGCTTCAGAGAAGGAGGTGAGACAGCGAGAAGGGAAGTGTGGATGGTGGGGCTGTGGCTGGGAGTACGGCAGCTGAACCAAAACCAGAGTGTGCAGCAGTTCAAGTAAGCAACCATCTAGGGATTTAAGTAGTTATAATGAGGAAACAGGTATGGACCTTGGGTAGGATGTAGAGGAAGAAAAAGAAGAATTTTAAAACATCAGAGGTGTGTGGCAGTTGTTAAGTATGACACCAAGTCTGTGGAACTTGAGGATAGGGCAATGCATGGAATTTTCAACTATTATGAAGAAATTAATTGGAAAAGTGTGGAATAAGAGATCAAGAGTTTGGTTTTTTTGTTTTGTTTTTTTGTTTGTTTGTTTTTTGTTTTTTTGGTGCTGATATTGTTTCTGCACTTTAAGAAACACCTTCAAGAACAGCTCCAGCTTACTGGAAATATCCGTTATTGCAAGAATCATGTGCACACTTACTTGCATGATGTGATGCCTCTTTCACATGAAATTGCACCCCACCCCTGTTGCAGAAATACTGTAATGTCACATAACAGTGCTGCTATGGTTAAGGGTCTGTCAACATGTTCTTTACTTCAGAATATTTTCTGAACGGTTTTAACTGTCTTAGGTAGTTGCTCAGTACAAAAAATTGGTATGGAACTCTCTAATCAGAAGCAAGTTTTATATGTATTGAAAAAGTAAATCAACAAAAATGCACTATTTTCTGTTCTCTGGTACCTCAATTTTTTTCTGTTCTATAAGCTGTGTCCTAAAATACAGCCTTTTGAAGTTCTACAGTGTGTATGTGCTCAACTTACTGTAAGACAGTATTGCAGCAGCGCTTGATTTTTATATACTACGTGTGATTTGTTCACTATGAACTTTAGGTCTTGCAAAACGTTAAAACCAGCCGTAGTGCACCATGTAGTAGCTTTTTGCAGACCCTTAATTCAGTTTTACTATTGTTGCTATTTCACTGCATTTAGCTGCAGTTGCAGAATTCAGAATTTTCAATTTCTTCATTTACTTTTTTCAGGCTGCTTTGCTGAACTCCTTCCCCGCTATCTTTGATGAGCTGTTGCAGATGTTCACTGTGCAGGAAGTAGCAGAGTTCGTGAGGGGCACTCTGGGCAGCATGCCCAGTACAGTACACATCGGGCAGTCGATGGATGTTGTTAAGCTACAATCCATTGCACGCACTGTTGACAGCCGCCTGTTCTCTTTCTCAGGTAAGACAGCGGTGTCTGAGGCTAAGTCTTGCTGCTAAGAGTAGGAACACGTTACATTTATTTTGCAGTTGCTTTGTTGCAAACAATTCATTGCTGAATGCCAATAATCTTGGTGATTGTTTATCTTGGTGGCATCACCGTTACATATATTCGCTGTGGGTAAGTTTCTCTATGATAGAAAATGTTTATAAATCCGTCATGGATAAATTGTAGTTACTAAATGTTGATAAAAATGTGTACATTAACAAATCAATTCAATCACTAAAACTGCCAAATCTTACTTGATACTTTGTATTACTCTTCTATTGTTGTCACGGATAGGAAGATAACCTCCCTTCCAGCAAGTTTATGTGAGAAACCCACTGCATTGTTTTAAAGTATGTTTAATCTTTACATTATAACTTTAGTATTTTTTTAGCTCAACATACTAGTAATTTTTTCAGAATTAATTGAATGAAGAAGAGTTAAAGACTGTGAGTTTATTTCATATATAAGGTCTGAATGAAAGAAGTTGTGAAGGTATTAGTGGAAGATAAAAAGCACCATTGGGCTTATCTTCCCTGTGGTGAGGATCTCAAGTTAGTGCACTCAAATTATTCTACTCAGTGCAAGGTGAGAATGATAATAACATAGAGTCATGTCTAAATCATCCATTGTAATTGTTTATAAACTTTTTTTTCTTAAATTTGAAATTCATCTCAAAAAATATGAGAGTGTGTAGAGAATTAATAGATTAGTCCAAAGGTGTCTGTGAAACAGGCAGTGAATTTTATCTAATTTATAGTGTTTTACACCTATTGATAAAAATATTTGTCTTTGTGGGTGCCAGTTCATGGCCAAAAACCTCCTCTTCTGTCTTCTCAGTAAAGCCATTTGTAACTTTACCTAACTAACATGGTCCAGGGCTTTAGTCCTTCCCATTAACCTCCATTTCTCCTTTACAATGGTACTGGCAACTAATGATGCTTTTAGCTGCTGCATAGCACCATGACATCTCACTACAGCATCAAAAACCAGAAAGCAAGCTTCAGCGTTGCAAGGCAGCTATGACTGTATAGATGCCACATTTTCCATCCAACATAATGGTAGACCCCTCTCCTGTACCTTTCCGTGGAAGCGTGACCTGATACTCCCAGGTCAACAATCTCTCCCATGTCCTTTCTGCCCCTCGGAAGATAAACCTAGTTTTCAAAGTTATCTTTTGCCTGCCCACCCTACCTACTCTTCAGGTCTGGCAGTTAAAGGAAGATATATTCTCTTTTTCTTGCCTCCCGTATGGTGATGACTTGTTTTCCTTCTGTCTCTCCTATCAATCCGTTTGCTGACATCTTGCCACTTTTTTCCTTGTCCCTTTCCCCTCCTCCCCCCCTGTTCTGGCTACTGCAGCTGCTGTTTTCTGCTGTTCTCTGCAGCTGCTACCTGCTCTCCCTTCTTTAATAAGATTAAGGTTTGTAAGCCAGCTAAAAGAGAAGAATTAGCCAGTTTCCAAGAGGCATATGTTGGAGAAGCTCTATTAGCTGTGACAATAGAGCTGGAAAGCAACACAAAGTGAGGAAGGGTTTGCACAAAAGCAATCAACATTAGGAAGCATCAGTCCGCAACTGTTGTTTCCAAGCTGAATCACTATTGAGAACATCATGTATACTGTATTTATGAACTTTTGAAACTAGATGCACTATTCATTCTTTAGATACAGTTCTTAGAAGTGTACTACAATCTGTACAATAGAAGTTGCACCAATTAATCAAACGTGCTGTGTATCAGTAGACTAGTTTGGATACCAAAAGGCTGCTGATTGGGATGGTTGAAATTTAATTTTCTTTTGGAAGAACTGTGATCTGATTTTCCTTCTTTCAGAGTCCCGGCGCATCCTGCTACCTGTAGTTCTTCACCACATTCACCTTCACCTACGACAGCAGAAGGAGCTACTTATTTGCTCTGGGATCCTCAGTAGTATCTTCTCCATAATCAAGACCAGCTCTTTGGTAATCTGCTGCTTCATTTTTTTTTTTTCTTTTTTTTTTAATTGCACCACCGATTTAGTAAAATGAAGACTGAGGGATTTTTATGGGTTAATACAGGTTTTTTGAAGATCCTTTTAAAAATGAAATTCTGCTAACTTTCTGTCAGCAGGAGGACATCTGAAATGATGGTCTGCTTTTGTGTGTGTGACTCAGAGCATTCTGATTACACAGTGTTCTTGCTCTTAGGAGGGGGAAAAAGCGTACGCATTTACCAGGTTTGACACTGTTTAATTTTCTTCATCCAAGCCCAGAACTTAGATGTCAGTGGAGTTTAAAAGCTCTACACAGCCCTAGGACTTGTAGTCCTGCAAGAGACAGTAACTAGCACTTTGTGATTCATGTTAAGAGAATACTCTAAAATTATCCAATCAATGAAATCACACTTCTGGAAATTGCTGCTGAGTTTAAACACCTAGCTTTGATGATCATGATACTCTGGTCTCAAACGGTAACTTTATCATTTAAAGCAATGCTCACAAACAGAGGGTGGTGAAGTTTCCCCACCTGACTCTAAAGGAGGAAGCTCATGGTGCTAAATATAATTCATACCAATGTGTATTTCCAGTTACAAGTTATGGTTTTGTGTGAAAGGAATGAGATGAAAGGTATCATGGTAATAAGCTAAAATAATACTGCCATGGAGTAAAGGTTCCTGAACATAATTTGATCCCATTGTGTTCTAGAGTGTATGCAGACCTTTGATTATAGATTTTTTTATTTATGGCTGTGACCCTGAATGTCTCCATCAGAGACTGACGAGGTAACACACACACACACTGGCATTACAACAGTATCTGGTACCAATGAGGAATTTGATTGTACTTCTTTGAACCTCTGTAACGGAGCGCTCTATCAAAACGAGTTTGTGGTATGGCTGACTCAGCAGAATTATCTTTGCCAATTCCGTTCTCTTCAGTTGCTAACTGTCTGTTTTCTCACCACTTACTGTAGGAGGGAGATGTCGTGGAGGAGGTTGAGATGATGGTGGAGAGCCTCCTGGATGTGCTTTTACAAACTCTGCTTACAATCATGAGTAAATCGCAGTCTCAGGAGGCGGTAAGAGGGCAGCGTTGCCCGCAGTGCACAGCAGAAATCACTGTTAGTAACTAACAATCAGTTTCTATTTCCTGCTTCTCTAACCTCTGGTTCGGTCCCTCACCACCACCAGCACCTCATTATCATCTCTGCTGCATGAATGCCCAGGGCTCTGTCTCTTTCAAGATCACAGATTCCTTCCTCTGTGCCGTAGTGAGGTCTGCAGGAAGCAGTGGAGCTCAGGAAGCTTTTGTGGATTTCCAGGTTATTTTCTTGTTTGTCTTTGCAGCTGTAATTGAGAGTTATTTTTTAGAACTTGAGGCATATACTAGCTGGGTAGCTGCCCAGGGCTTCACCCCGGCATAGGTATCACCAAGGGCTGTGTGAGTATCAGGCTGTGATTCCTAAGACTGAGAATACCATGATGTTCAGTGGACAAGTCCCTTTACTTAACACCCTGGAGAGCTTCTGTCCAAGTTCACTGATTATTTCATGCAAATGAAACACAACGTACTTTTGAAAAAGAAGTGAACAGATCCTAAGTCAAGTAGCTGTTGAGCTTGGTGGGAGAAGAGGGAAAAGGCACCACTTTGTCCAGACTGCCAGCATAAGCCTAGGGGAAGAAATTTTTTCTTGCAATGGAAGAGGAGAAAAAGAATAGAATTTTGCTGTTCAGCTTTCTTCTTTTCTGGATTTGTTGCCCTTTTCTATTCTAGTCTATTTTAGTCTATTTTTGCTTGTCAGAGTCTCTAATGCAGCTCTTGCACAACATATGATGTTAAGCTGTTGTTCAGAACATCCTTTTTTAGACTTTTTTTCTCAAATGGCTGAAACCTCAGAGGTATTGTTGGGGGCAGATGTACACTAAGGTACACTTCTCACCCAAGAGAAGAGGTTGTACCTTTCCATGTTAGCTCAGATAAAGTAACATGGTAGAATCCTAATAAAGAACAAGGCATTTAGTAGTTTTCAGACATGTTCTTTGATACAAAACAAGAAGGGCACTAGCTTGCAAATGTCCAGGAACATCTCAATTTCCTTTTACTCCTACCATTTGACTTACTGTTATTTATCATGTGCCACCTCACGCGTAAGAGCACACCTTTTTTCCTAATGAAGTTCAGCCCTGTAAAGTTATTGGAACAACCTACGTCAAAGCTTCTGGGTAGATGCTTGAGCCAATTAGAAGAAAAAAAAAAAATGGAATGGACAGTCCCAAGTATAAAATCCCCTTGTATTTGTTCCTGAATTTATATTTCACAGCACAGGGATATGTGGAATCTTACTAGATACTGCTTAGAAAATAGGTTGTATATTTTCCAAATTAATTGCTCACTATCACAGAAAAAAATAGTGTTGTACAAGGGACTGGCAGTCAAAAGACATAGTCCTTACATTCTTGGCACTGCCTTGCTTGTTATCTTGGACAGATTGCTTAACTTCTCTGTGCTTTGCTTTCAGATATGTAAAATGGGGGAGCTCACCTTTGAAAAACACTTTGGGATACTGTGGTAACTGGTTAGGGTGCATCTGCTTTGCAGGCCAGAAATGTAATTGTAGCTCATGTAGGCTTACCCAAATTATATTCAGAGTATTTTACTGGAATACTGTTAGTACTGTAGCTATGACAGCACATAACTTGGTGAACACTAATAAGCCAAATATTTACAAGATTCCAGACACCTTTTGTAGCCCATACTGATCCCATGTTGTCATCGCTATACTGTTTTGAGTATCTGAGCCAATTAGTTTCAATAATTCCTGGTATGTCTGCATGAGCTGCAGTCACACCTTTGATAGACGTAGTATATTAAGGAACTGAAAAAGGTGTTTGACAAAAACTGCATGTTTGGAGGGCAATTCATTCATGTCTGTATTAATCATTTTAAATTATTTTTGTTTAGACTACAACATTGATTAAAAGACCTTTAAAACTGGCATCTGCGGAGGAGCCTCTAAGAGGTGTATTCCTATGTATTAACAGTAATTCAAGAACTGTTAACATGCAGTATTTTTAATCTCTGTGCATGTCCGCTTTCCTCTCATAGGCATTGGGGCCATTTCAGTCCCCTCCCTTTATACCTTACCCCAGGTTAAGTTTTATATTTATGAAATTTCAGATTATCGGAATGAAGTAGTTTCTCATTTGGTCAACAGGGAGAATATGTCTCCTGCCTTTTATCTTTGCTTCGTCAGATGTCAGACACTCATTTCCAGCACTTACTGGACAACTTCCAAAGCAAGGATGAACTAAAGGTACAACAGAACATCATGTTTGTAGGGTGATTCACTCAGAATGGAAGAGCAGAGGGGAATCCCTCCAGCATTACTTGCTCTGCTAATCATTCCCATTTACTGGCACTCCATTCATGGACCTTCCTTTCACTTTTATAATAATAGGTGTTGTGTTACAAAAACATTTACGACCACAGGACACTGAATTATCTTCGTAACAGCCAATAAAGTCCCAAGATAGATGTTATCAGACATCAAAGGATATCGTTATTTTACTATATAGAACATAGTCAGAGGAACAGGGGTTTTTTAATCCGGTGAATGGAAGGTCAGTTGTTCTATAGCATTTTACTAGATGTTCAATATGCATTGGAGCTTACTTACGAAGGGTGTTGATTTTATGCCAAAAGAGAATTTCAAGCCTTTTCGGGGATACAAATGTCTCTAGCAAATGAAGTATCTTTTGGAAAAGCAGTAACCTTCCCAAATTTGTGAACATTAATTTAAGTTATGGCTCTGCATGAACAGAAGGTGTTGGTGAGTGGTACAGACCTCTCTGGTGGCTTTTTTGCCACTGATATTTGGAAATGGCACACCTCGGAGCAGAAACTAACTTTTTATCTCAACTTCCATAGGGAAGAGGAGTATCTCCAACAACAGTCTGTTTAAAAGGCAGAATAATTTCATAAATAAACACAAGATTTTATATAAAATGCTTTTAATTAGCATGGCACTCAATAAAATATGGACAATATTAGTACATATTAGATGTATACAAAATGAATACAGCCATATCCCAATATACGTTGTTTCTATGTTTTCAGGTGAACGGCCTAGTAACACAAAGCTCAAGTAGAGCACACTTAGCTTAATTGTTTTTCTTATAATCAAGCAAATAGATTAATCTGCAGCTGCTGGTGATTTTTAAAAATTTTTTTCCCTATGTGATAGGAGTTCCTCCTGAAGATTTTCTGTGTATTTCGGAACCTGATGAAAATGAGTGTCTTTCCTCGAGACTGGATGGTGATGAGGTTGCTCACCAGCAAGTAAGTAGAGAAGCAGGTATAAACTGTTGACATTCTGTATTGGAATTTTTTCTCCTCGGCTGGGCAGTTAAAACCTGTGATGCAGTCTGTTTCACCAGACTGAGATGTGGTGATCAAGACAGGAATTCTGGAGTGCTTGTCCTCATTCTGCAGTTATTTTAACACTCTGGACCAAACTGGGACTTCTGTATTCGTTCTGTTTCTTAAACTCTGCCAGTATGCACAGGTCTCCAAGAGTTAAAAGTTTAAACCCAAAGCTGAAGTAGCTGCACTGAGGGTAAGCGTGGCACAGCAGTTATCATAACACATGGCAAGGAACAGCTACCCACACCAACTGGTATTAACGGGAAGGCCTCTCGACTCCCTTTCTCAGTAAATCACTACATTAAACATCTGTCTCTTCCCATAAACATCACTCGTTAACCTACCTAGGAGGAAGACTCAGTTATTTAGAAAAGGAGGAGCAGACCCTAGTGATGACACCAAGTGCTTTACATACAGAGTTATTTCTCAATTAAGTTGTCATCTACCATTTTAATGCTTAATTTTATCTAATTTTCTTGCTTCTGATGGGTTAAGTACTATGCTGTTTGGAATGGCAGCACTGTGGTGAACACAGGGTGGCTGGAATTATTTGCTAGTTTCTTTAGATAAACTAGCTATAGAATTACTACTGACTAACTGACAACTGGAGGGGTTCCCATTACAAGAAGACACCATGGAAGTTTTCCTAAAGGCTGACTGCTCAGCTGAGCTCTATGCTCTGCGAGTTCACCGTGCTAATGAAAAGTGAAAGAAGTGGATTTCAGTATTTCAAGCGCAAAGATTAAATAAAGTTCTGTAAGAAAAGAAAAATCCACATGAAAGAGTAGTTACCTCAGATGCTGTAGCTTACCTAGTTCCCTTTGGCATAATTTTGCCATAAACTTTTAGACTGATAGGTATGTTTAGCAGTGTTACTGGAAGTATTGCTTGCATGTGAATCAGAGATGTGCTGTTTCTTTTGATACTATTGTTGCTTTAACTACATGCTATTTATTAATTCCTGAATTTATCACATGCCTTGATTACCTTTCACTAAAGTGCATTTAGCCACCTTATAAAAAAATACCAGGGAATCCAGAATTGGCAAAATACTCACAAATATCTTGAGTTGAAGTGTTAGCCGGATGAAGGACCATTCTATAGCCAAGAACGAAAATAGCTCAAACTTTTTGAGTTGTTCTTCTCCGAAAAAAAAAAAAATCTTTCTGCTTAAAATAGGAGGAAGATGGGTGGAAGTAATTACTGGAGGTAATATGACCCAAGCGTGCAAAATAGACAGGATTTTAAATGCTCCTGTGTAAATTCCAAAAGTTACAATAACGATGAAAATTCTTAATCTTGTATCACTTAGTACAAATTGTTTGTTAAAACATAGATAGGCGACTTCTATGTGAATCTAGCAGTGATGACATGAAGAATGCCCATCTCTGTACCTATAGTAAAATCCACACCACAAACCACTGTAATATGTTATACTCCAGATTCAAATGTGGTTTTTTTGTTTTCTTTTTTTGTTTTTGACTGCAGTATCATAGTTACAACAGTTCAGTACCTGTCTTCTGCACTGCATAAGAATTTCACGGAAACGGACTTTGATTTTAAAGTAAGAATTGATGCTCAGAAAATATTATGACATCTTTTTAAACTAGCAGTTACAAAGGAACAAAAGCTATTCTTTACATTAGCTGATTATACTTGCAGCATTTATTTGAGTATCTGTGAGGAAGATGACCTAACTGATAAAAGACAGGAATTTGAATCTGCTGTGGAATTGAGGGGAAGTAGAACAGGTACACTGTGAGATCAAATCAAGAAAATTGAGCCCCTCATATAGGAAACAAGTATCTTCGTAAGCAGTGGAGCTAATGAAGCATGCTGTCTTACAGATTCACGCCTAATAAAATGTAAACCCAGGCAATGCTTTTCCTGAAGTTGGGGCATTCATGATCTTCCTCTCCCAGAGGTCTCTCTTTCTGATGACTTAAAACTTGGAGGAACACAGTATCTTAGAGAGCATTTTCCCTGTGTCTGATGGAGTTGAAAATGGGCAACAAGTTCAGTGTTACTAAGGAAAAGCATGATGGCAAAAGCCTCATTAGGAAAACTGACTAAACTATAGGGCTCTCATTCATGATATAATGTAATCTCTGGGGGGTTTTGAGGGATAAAATCAGTTTGGCGTACGAAAAAACAATTTAAAATTTCCCTGAAGTCACTAAGTTTATTCATGTTTGAACTCTGGTGCTAAGAGGAAAGCCCAGTGGCATTACCTTCTTGGGGGTTTTTAATTTTAGTTTCTACCAGGTTTTAAATAATCCATTGGTATCCTTAAGAGTTTAGTATCTCAATAGTTAAGATACATATTGATTAAGTTACGTCTTGATTACAAAAAGGAACAGTCTGATTCTACATATAAAGGAACATGTGTCTTCCCACACTTGTTTAAAACTTACTCCTTGGAGTGTAATGTTTTAAAACTTCCTTCCTGTGTCACAGGTGTGGAACTCTTATTTCAGCCTGGCAGTTTTGTTTATAAACCAGCCAAGTCTCCAACTAGAAAATGCCACACCAGCTAAGAGGAAGAAGATTCTGGATAAGTAAGAACATGTTTTGTTGGGTTCCCAGCCTTTTCTGCCACCTCAAAAATGAGACTTCTGTTTCTACCACAAGTCCCTTGTATTTATTATCGAACTTGGGATGTGGAAATGCTTGGGAAATAAATAAGTAGATCTCCTAATATAGTATTCAGTGATTAGTCGAGTTGTTTGATATTTTTAAGTTGACTTAAATGTGACTTTGATTTTTGTTTTTTTTTTTAACATCACTGCCTTGCTAGTTTTTGTTCCATTAGGCAGCTGTCTCTCTCTTCTCTTTCAGATATGGCGATATGAGAGTGATGATGGCATATGAGCTCTTCAGCATGTGGCAGAACCTGGGTATGTCTCTTCCTTCTCTGTCCTAACAATCAAAGCCAAAGTAACCCCAGATTTCTGTTGGAATTTTTTTTTTTAACTTTTTGGAGCATCATAGAATACTTAGTTTCTCTTAAGAGTTGCAAAACCAGGAAGCAGTTCTCTTCTCCCACCAACAACTCTCTTCTGCCCTGTCTCATCATACTTTTTTACTTTTTAATTTGAAATATTACATTCCTATGAATTTGAATGCTTTCTTCTCAAATGTGACAGTGGCACGTTTTGGTTGTTTGGACACATCAGTGACAGCTTTTATTTATTTGCAAATATAAAATCAGCTTTTTCTAATCCCTTCAACTGTGCTGCAGTCAGGTTCATGTGGAGATATACTGGTACTCTCTGACTTTTGTCTGATCCATGGCTGTAAAGCAGAAATTTAAATTTTCACAGCTAAAACCAACTTTATAATTTTGTAGATGATTCAAAAGCCAAAGTTGACATGATTCAAAATTACAGAATCATAGAATCATTTAGCTTGGAAAAGACACTTAAGATCATCGAGCCCAACAGTAAACCTAACACTGCCAAGTCCACCACTAAACCATAGCTATGTGTGTTTGATAATAAAGCCCAGAAGTGGCATACAATAAAGCTTCTTTTTTGGTATGTTCAGGTATCTAGTATGCACAACAAATTCTACGTTAATACTTCTAAAAGAAAAAAAAAAATTAAAAACCAGAACAGAAACCCAAGCCAAAACCCACAGAAACCCTGTCCACAATCACGCAACGTTTGTGATAAATTTCAACTTCACTTCTGCAATTCATTTGACCTTTTCCTATATATTTTAATTAAGAAATTAAGCATGTTACAAAATGGGGAAAAATATGTCTCGCCACAGGCCTCAAAAGATAAATGGAGATTTTTCATCTAGGACTTGCGCTTTTAGAAGTGTGCTGCAGCAGTCTTGGGTTTAGGTAATTCAGGATTTTATTAACAGAAGAGCCAAATAACATCTGTACTGCATCAGAGCAAGTCCAGCTAGGCCAGTATCCTGTCTCCATCAGGGACCAAAATGAATACCTATGGAAATGTTTGAGGACAAAGGAAGCATATAGTATTCTAGAGGATAATTAAAAAAATGTTTCCTGATAGTGATCACAAATCATACAAAGCTCTGAGAACAGGTAAATCATTAAGAGGGCAAAGGAATGATGCAAATCAGATTGGATGACTTGATAATATGGCTGCAAGCAATATATTCAAAAAGCCAAATATGAACATTTTATTTGTAGGAGTATAGGTAGGAGTGCTATTCAAGAAAAAAAAAAAAGACTATAAATTTATTATGCTGATAATCAGCTGAATGGGAGCTACCTGTAAAATGCTATGAGTAAAAAAGATACCATAATATTTGAGAAAAGATGCAAGAATCTTGAGTAAAAGAAGAGGGACGATACTACTGCCAGAGTTTTTTCATAACCACACTTGATTCTAGAATAGTTTGCCTGGTCCTGCTTTCTACAGCTCGGAAAAAAAAAAAACAAAGACAAGTTGGACAGAGTTCAGAGAACAGTCAGGAAGATGACTACAGAAGTGAGTATTTTTATTATAAAATACTGAATAAGGCTGACCCATCTTGCACAACTAAGATGATACAGCCAGACCTGATCACAGTTTCTAAGCATCTGTGTGGAGAATAGAAGGCTCTCCAATATAACAGGCATCAAATAACCAGAAAATGATGCTAGACAAATTCAAATGAGAAGTGAGAAGCCCGGTTTAGATATGAAGATACAGATATTTACCATTGAATGTTGTTCCAAATATGGCTATTTTGATTTATTCTCTGCAACTGCACAGTAAGCATGCCACAGAAGAGATTGTTAGCAAAATGCCTTGGGTTTCTGCTGCTGAGAAGCAATGCAATTTGGTCCTAAGTCAAGGTCAGTTATGAAATTGAGACTTCCATAGCACAGAGGATGAAGAGCTCTGTAGTTCTTTGAAATCTAAATATGTTAAATACCATTGTTCTCACCAGCCCTTTCAAAATCTTTCTCTTCATAAATTAGAAGTACCTGTGGCCTCTTTTCCCCCGAGTTAGTATATTTTAGTTTGGTTATTTTTGACAGTTTGAATTCCTTTGCAAGTAAAATGCACTGACAATTTTTGCTCAAGGCTTTCACAGTGAAATTAAAAATGCTCTTAGAGACTTTGCAAGGAACAGTGTAAAGCAAATATTGTTTTTCCAGTCCTTTCAGGAAAAGAATGTGTTTGCTTTTCTACTGTTCATGCCTGCTACTTTGTTATTATTGCAGGGGTTCCCCATTTTCTCAGTGACAGATAACAAAGGCTTTTATTTAATTACAGTTGCTTTGTGTTGTACAGGTGAGCATAAGATTCACTTTATTCCGGGAATGATTGGCCCGTTTCTTGGTGTCACACTTGTTCCACAACCAGAAGTCCGGAATATCATGATCCCTATCTTCCATGACATGATGGACTGGGAGCAGAGAAAGAATGGCAACTTCAAACAGGTGAAGTCGCTTCCCAACCATTTGCAGTATTCTTTTTCTTGCTCTGTCTGTCTGCAATGTCCAGCTGGAAGCAAGGAGTTTGTATCTGTTGATCCATTTCTGATTGTGAAGAAGATGTTGTCATGTAAATACATAAAAATAGAAAAACTGAAGCACAATTCACAAAACTATTACAAGACTTCCAAGATTATTTAAACAGTGCACTTCATAGCAAGCTACATTTCCCATGAACATAGAGAAGAGGAGCAAAGTGCTCATCACATCGGAGATGAGGAAGAGAAAAGAATTTTGTAAGTGCTGGGCTCTCACTGCTCCCATTGGTTTCACTTAGTCAACCGTTAAATGGGTCAGACTGAGAACCAAAAATGGAGATGTAAAGATTTAGCCAGTATTTGTGAAAACAGTGGTCTTTGCTTCTCTGTCGTCAATTTCTAGCTAGAAAGTGGTATTGTATAATTAAATAATTATACCATGCTTTGAAACAGACTTTGTAACTCTGTATTTTTTAAGAAATTGTAGCAGCCGTCCTGAAATGGTTAAGCCCAACAACAGTTCTGTAGTTCCCACCTGCTGTGAGCTCTGATTGCAAAACAGGGAGAGGAGTCTTCATCATTTGTTGCCCAGTCATGGTCAGAGAATTGCTTAAATTTTCCACTGCAAAACAGATCCCCGAAGTGCAAAGTATTAATAATGAAGGATTGGTTTGGACTGGATCCTCAGATGACAGTGCTTCATTGTCATTGTGTTTGGGGCAATACTGGGGCAAGTATCTGCAGATAAGTGCTCTGAAGTAGTAAATCCTTTTATTTAAATTATCATAATTCATGTCATTATTTATTATCCACAAAGTCATTAAAATGCCAGATCTAATCTATCGTTCCAGGAAGATAACAGACCATTTCCATAACCTGGCCTATTAAAGGCTGTGTGGAAAAGTATTACCAGGAACTTACGTTTTTCTTCCTCTTCAACTCCCTTGATTATTACTATTATTTACTACTACTATTATTACAGTAGCATTTGATCATAGTCCTCTTTTTGCTTGTTTTAGCATAACAATAGAACAGTCCCTGCTCTGGCATTTACAGTTATAAGTACCTTCAAGTTTCTGGACCTGTTGTGTATCAAGATGAACTCTTCATAATCTTCATAATCTTCATTTAATTTTTATACTCACTAATGTATTCTAAACTAGAGCTCCAATAATATTTCTTAAGTTACCTGTGGAGCAAATTTCCACACTGTTTTATGAAGCATAAAGCGTAACTTTCTAAGATTAAAGACAGAATAATCATCTGTGTTAGTGAGAATGAAATAAATAGTTAAATAGCACAAGATGTATTAAACCTTATTAACATTAGCTGCTGGAACCACGAAGTTATTTGTTGTCCAGTGTAATGCTAGATAGCTGGAGAGATGCATTACTGATTTCTGTCAAGTCATTGTAGATCACAAGCAAAGAGAGGGTACGTTTTTTTTAATTTTGAGCTTCTCTTTACCTTTTGAATACTAAATTGGTTGTCAGAAAATATAAAAATCCTGGAAATTCATTTTCAAGCCCTTTTTTTTATTTTCTGCAGTAGCTCATGTCTTAACGAGGTTATTTTTTCAGCAAATAATGGATAACAATGCAGTCTGATTCATGGACTACATCAGGTCTCCCTTTAATGATTTCAGCAACAAGAGCACCAGCTCCATTTGTGTGCCAGTGGGTGATTCGCTTTTCCTTCTCATCTTTACTTCCTTTGCAATTTGGCAGCTGAAAAACAGAGAGAAACTCAAACTATGCTTGTCTTTAAATAAAAACAAGCCGTATTTCTACAAACAGTTTCAATCTTTAAGAACCTCTGTCTTCATTACTACTGAAAGTATGTTTTTTACAAGATTTCGAAGACTACAAGAAATTGTTTTGTTTAATGTTAGATACATTGATTTCTGCAATTGAATCAATTTTATGGGAATATCTGATATCAAACCATAATAGGATGTATTAGACTAGGGGAAAATGAATACATATTCAAAACCTTTGTAAGGGAAGAGAAACATAATGATACTGTTGTGGCCCTTTATATAAGTGTAAAAAGAAAATGCGTCATATAATCGAGAGGCTTGACAAAACTGGGTTTAATGAACAAATAATCTTCCAATGTAATGATGCCTGGATGATTGGAAATCAATTACCTACCAACAGAACCATCACAGCAGACCAGTGGCGATCACACCATGAATTAGTTTCTCTGCGTGGATATTCTGTTAGAGTACAGGATATAGTTTACCTTGTATACTGGTTTACAGAAAGTGTGTCTGAGCGATTTATTTGATAAGAGAATAAACTGCAGAAATTCCTGTGACGAAGAAGCGTTACCTCCCCTGGGATGTTCATTTAGACCCTGATAAGCAAAAGGATAATTTAGTTTTAGTCCTCCTATTTCACTGAAAAATGAGAAAAGTGTGTCCATTTAACTGAGCCACAGAGAAATAAATCATTTGCACATAGAAGCGGGCAGCCCCAGGGCATGAGAAATAAAATATTCTTCCAGTCTTCCTAGTGTTTGGAACTCTTGTCTTCTACATGAACAGCTAATTTGTAACCAATTGCTTCTTTATCCAGGTGGAAGCCGAGTTGATCGATAAGCTGGACAGCCTGGTATCTGAAGGAAAAGGTGATGAGAACTACAGGGAACTCTTCAGCCTGCTGTAAGCTATGCCAGTTTCTGCTCACTCTGTGTGGTGCAGGGTCATTGAACGAGTCACAGTAGTGATCTGTGCAGCCGCAGCTAGTGCTGATCTTCAGAGAAAGCAGTAAAGGGCTTTCTGGCAGGTTTTCGTGGCACGGCTCAGTGAAATAGAAATATGTCACTCTAATCCTGAAAAGAATATAAATCCCTAAATTCTTCTTTGTCTTCTTTCTGTGAAATCTAATATAAGGCTGCACAGGTAAGTAGTTATCATCCTCATATCAAAAATTCATTTGCTAGAGGAGCCAGTGCCTTTCTTTTTACATAGCAATAAGTGAAATCATGGCCTTAGGACTGTTTAGAGAAACAGTGTACTATCTAGCAAGTCAGACCTTGTTAGAGCAGAAGAGATTTTCCTCAGCATTTTCCTTTGTTTCTTCCAATTTTTGAAGGTTGTGTTTTGGTTGGTTCAACAGTTGCAAGTTGCTTCCTCCAGAGTCCATCATGACGCTGTATTTCCACTCCCTTTCATACCAAAAACCTGTACTCGTAAGGATAAACTTAAAGACTTTACGTCTGACTTTCCACTTAGTTATGTTTGATTACTGATCTGTCTCCAAATTTCATTTCCAGTGATCCTTCAAATCACTTTCTTTGAAAGAAAGATCTTTCAAAAGAACTTATTTTGAACTCTGAGAGTCCAGAGCAGTTAACCCTAAATCTTTTAACATTCCAGTGAGCCATAGAGATCATTAACAGAATTTTAGCCGTATATTCCAGACAATTTTATGTGGCCCCCAATAGCATGCTGGCAGTTTGAGGCATAAACCTTTGTTTCGCTAGAACCAATACTTGTATTTCCAAATTTACAATTGCACGTTCATTCATTTTCAAGATAGAGAAGCCTGCCCATCCTGTATGCTTATCCTTAGGAAGCATGTAAATGTATTCAGTTTTGATTTGTGTATATTCAGCCCTGGGAAGTTATGTGTACAGATAACATAAGTTTATTTCAGGGATAAAGGAAAGAAAATATCTATCTTTTTTTTTTTTTTTCTTATTCACCTGGCGGGAGGAATATTGTGCATTTCCTTTGCTCCAGTTGAAGACATTTGTTACCTGAATGTTAAGAATTCAGGGACTGTAGCTTGTTACTTATTTTTAGATGATAGTGACTGGATGTATTACCAAGAAACACAGCCTGGAAGTCCACCAACCTTTTAGTTTATATTTGCTACTGACTTTTCTGAGAACAATGTGAACTTTGAGGAAACAATTCCACAAAGTTAGTAAATGCTGTGTGAAACAAACAGTTGACCCTGAATTCTACTGTCTCAACTACACTGCTGAAATGTGAATTGGCTCCCTCAGCTGGAAATCATTCCAGTACGGAAGAGTTTTCCTCTTCTGAGGATGTATATGACACCCAACAGAATTTCTTTCCTCTTGCCAGTTTAGAAGTGGCAAGTTCTTTGACCAGAGATCCAGTTTCAGGAAACTAGCATGTAAATTTGCTTTCTTTTTTCACTTTTTAAATATGATCTTCAGTTTAAATATGATTTTCTCGCTCTAGCCTCTCATCCTTCACAGTTGTCTCAGCGAGATGCTTGCTGTATTGTCTAGTTTGCTGAGCAGGAACAGATTGCCTTTATTTATTTACAGTTAAATAAATTGTAATTCAAAGTTGGTTGGTTGCTGATGAAAATTTATGTAGGGATGAGCAAAGAAGAGGTATTTGCAATAGGTTGAGACTCCCTTCCAACTTCTGACTGCTATTAGCAGTATTTAAGCTACAGGTAACAATGTGGGAATCAGCTGTTGCCATGAGCATTTGCTCTTTTTCATACGTTTTAAGTGGCAATGTGAAGATATTTTTCCTTCTCCTGTCAATTCTGTAATTTCCTTGTCTTTGCTTCATGCTGCCTGGAGTAGAACCCAGCTCTTTGGGCCTTATCCCAGGTAAGATAGTAATTCTATGAATTTGTTTTATGAGGGAGAAATCAAGTTGTCCACAGCTGTCTGCATGCACTATACCATTTCCCTGGAAGCCTCATCTGCTGTCTTTCCATCTCCAAACAGTTTGCTGGAGAAGATTGAGCAGGAAACGTGGCGGGAGACTGGAATCTCTTTTGTCACATCAGTTACTCGTCTCATGGAGCGTCTACTTGACTACAGGTATCTGGCAACAACAGTAATATATTCTAAGTATAAGTAGTTTGTAAAGAGGCAGTATGAAATCTCTTTTCTACAGGAAATATTTTTATTGTTTATCAAGCTCCATGCTTCTCTGATGGCAAATATTATATGTAAGCAAGCCTTTGCTTACATTGCTGCTGGGTTCTGAGCAAAAGTCCTAAGCCCTCATCTCTAGAGCCCTAATTCTCATTCTTGTACGCTTGTTCCTGATAATAGCAAAGATAAAGAAATTTTTTAATTCATAGTTCTGTACTAAGGTTTATTCAGGTTGCTAAATGATTCATTCCTTCTATCATTGAAATGATCTCACCTAATTCAGCAAAATAGATGCTAAATGCAAGAATGATCTCAAATGTCTTGCTCAAGATGTGCTGAATGCCTCATCTAGACATGCAGGGTTGGAAAACTTTTCATCTGAGGAAAGTCTGACATGTCAGCTGGTGACTCATGTGTGCAAGACTCCACTATAAATTAGGCATCCTTTGTTTAGTTTTAGACTGAAGTTTGCAGGACTATTGTGTCAATACAGCTGAGCTTTGATTCAGTTACAAGAAAATATTTTAAC